GGGCTGGTATGTTCTCTGCTGGTTTGGCAGCACATAGATAACTACCACCCATCTCCTAGTGGGTGTAATAGAGGATGAGAATGTATTCACAGATCTCTGTTAGCTGTTCATGTAGAGCAGTTGAGGGCAGCTTGAGCTGGTATTGGCTGCTGTGTATCATTGATCAGTTGGTGCAGAGGTAGGTGGTAGCCCTCGCCCATGAGTGGGGCTGCAGGAGCTGTGGATGTGGTTGAGTTATGTGGGCACAGTCTCCCACCAGCTTCCTGGTCACCATCCACCAATACGTTTGCCCATGCAGTCTTCGGCAAGTGGAGTTGATTGTCAGGTTGCTGTCCTGATTGGAACACTTTTTGAAAATATTCAAAATGGCCATGCTGTCAGAGCAGTTAACAGTCTATAGTTCCATTTATCTCCTTATTCACTGTTTTCATTTAGTTTCTTCTACTAGTCACTTTTTAAAATGAGTTTAAAGAAGTTTAATCCACTTCTTTATCTTTCCCTTCCAAGCTCAGGGTTCCAGGATTATCCCCTTTATCTATTTCTATTGATTTCTTGATTCATTGTTATAAAGGGTCTGGGTAGCTTGTCTGGCTATTCCACCATCTTGCTGGAAGTCTTTATCACTGATGATGTTTTAAACTTAATTTGACTTCCAACAATCATGGGCTCCAAGGTATCTTTAATTGATACATGTTGCCTAATCAGTCTGGTTCTGGATCATTAGAAATGGATGTCTGATTACATACTCACTTCTTACACTTGTAGATTCCATGCAGCATTTTTAACCCGTTCTGTAAGTTTATATTATAGAGTGAAATTGCAGAACTGTGGGAAAGACTTAACAAATACTTGGACTAATATAATATTTCTATTTGCTTTTTAGAGTTCATGGGCTGAAAAAGAAAGCACATTAAAAAGATCGGAGAAGGTAATAAGATTTTCCACACTGAACTTAACAACATTTGCAGAGCTGAGTGTTTGCTTGCACATTATAATAATGCCTCTTTTTTTGGCTAAAGCAGCCATAGTCACAATCCCTCTTAAATCGTGTCATTGTAGTTGCAGAAACACATTCCAAAAAGGTTAGGGGTGATCATTTCCTAATGTGGGAACTAGTTCTATGAAAAGAAACACTTGTCCAAAACAGTCATTTCAGATCAGAGTTTTATTTGAAGGGATGTTTCCAAACCACAGTCATATTTCCCTTTAAAAAAAGAAAAAAAAAATCCTGTAGCTTTCAGAGTCTGTATCTGGTAAGGAGAAAGAGGAAGTTGGCCTGAGCTGTATCATATATTGACAAAGCACATGGCTCATGCTTACATTGCCATGGAAGATAGTAATTACCAAACTGAACTTGCATTAATCAGTGATTCGTGGTTTGGCTTCTGTAATCCAGCTTTTTCTGTAAAGGACCAGATAGTAAATATCTTAGGCTTTGTGGGCCATGTGGTCTCTGTCACAACTACTCAACTCAGCCATTGTAACACAAAAGCAACTACAGAGATTATGTAAACAACTGAGCATGTCTATATTCCTATGAAACTTTATTTACAAAAACATGCTGTGGCCCATGAGCCATAGTTTTTCAACTCCTGATCTAAAATTTTAATTACCTACAAAGAACTGGGGAGAACAAACAAAGATTTATAGCCTTGAAAACCCTATGGAGTAGATCTACTGTTCTATAAGGCCTCTTGCTGTGAGTCAGAATTAACTCAATGGCAGTGGGTTTGGGTTTTTTTTTTTCTTTTTCTTTTTTTTGGTTTGGTTGATATTATAGTACTCTTATTATCTGGGGAGGACCTGACACTCTGAGGACCAAAGGACTTCCTTCCCCAGGACATTGCTGGAGGCAAGCCAACAAATTCTTACTCCTTAAGTCTCCTTTCTCTGGCTTTCATGCAGAATATCTGCTATCCTTCTCTTACAACAACATGTCATTTACCTCTGATCTCTGTAATCATATATTTTTACTTGAGCCCACACCCTTATGACCAGATGTTTTGGTTCTCTAGTGCTGCTCTAACAGAAAATACCACAAATCTTTAACAAACAGGAATTTATTCTCTTACCATTTTGGAGGCTAGGAGTCTAAGTTCAAAGTGCCAGTCCTAGAGGCTGGGTGAAAGCCCCTCAACCTTAGGCTTCAGCTCTACCTCTTACTCTTGGCCCATTGGAGCTGGAGGCTTCTCTTAACTCAGACAACTGCTGGCTGCTGAGGCTGACAAGCCCAAGGTCAACAAATAAAATTATCAAGCAATATGGCAGGCCACTAATTCAAGTCCATTAACAAGATCAACAGACAATATGGCAGGCCTTTGAGACAAAGACTCAGCTACATGCAGGATCTAAGTGTGCCAAAAAGCTCCCAGACCTTTCTCAAAGCTGCTTCTTATATGCTGAAAGCAGACCACATCCCTAAGGCAGCTACTCACTGCTCCAATAGATTCCACCATGGAATTGATTACCAGTCTCATCATGGGGAATAACTACATGCAATTTCCCAGCCACTCCAAACCAGGCCCAGCCAAATTGACATATAATGTTAACTATTACACCAGAATTAAACACCTGGTATCTGATGGAATGTGAGATACCCTCAGTAGAGCCTGGGTAACACCCTAGTATCAAGGAACCACACTTACTGACTCTCAGGGAGAGCTGTTTATCACTATTCCAGGTTGACTCTTTCTTGTATCTACTTCACAGAATGTTGTTTCCTGACTGAGTGGATGGTTCAGAGTAGATAGATGACAGGCACTGGTGGCACCCTCCACCCCACCCCTTAGGTGGCTTTTTTTAGTTAACAGAGTTCATAGAATTTCATTCTTAAAAAATAATGGTACAGTTCTCTTCATAGTTATTTGTGGTGGCATTGTTTTCCCAGAGAGATAAAGAGTTCCTGAAGACCACGTTTATCCTGGTGTACCACGACTGTGTGTACCCACTTATCCATTCCACGCTCCTGCCCCCATTCAGGTGGGCAGAAGAAGAGACGGAGGCTACGCGATGGAAAGTTATTGCTGACTTCCTTAAGCAAAACCAGGAAAAGGAGGGTGCTCTCCAAGCTCTGCTGTCACCAGAAGGAGTTCATGAACCTTTTGATCTTTCAGAGCAGACCTATGATTTCTTAGGTGAAATAAGAAAGAATGCAAATTGACAGTGGTCGACTGCAGCTCTCAGCCTTCCACAGAGTCTGGTGGACCCCCCATGATGATAATTAATATGACAGAAATAAAATAACTATCACATTATAATTTAGGTTTTACTTTTTTTGTTACAGACCTTATTTTGCAATAAACATTTGAATACGTTTTAAAGCAATAAAATAATTTTTTTGTAAGAAATACTTTCATACCTAAATGTAAAGAAAATTGTTTTTCAAAAATCATCAAACTCAAGTCTTATATTGATTGTATCTATATATTTGTAGGAAAGCAAGATTTTATCAAGAGCTAAATTTATCATTATTCAAGAATGTGAAGGGGAGTTCACAGAGTGTGAGAAAATATTTTTAAATTATATATCTGACAGGGAGCTCTGGTAGCGTAGTGCCTAAGGCACTTGACTGCTAACCAGAAGGCTGGTGGTTCAAACCCACTAGCCATTCCTCAGAAGGAAGGTTGAGCAATCTACTTCCCTGGTGATAGCCTCAGAAACCCAAGGGGGGGGGGGTCACTATGAGTTGGGTCCAACTCCACGGCACATAACAACAACAACAACGTATCTGATAAGGATCTAGTATCCAGAATATATAAATGTATGATTATTGCTAATATAATTTATGCTATAAAATGAAGGGGAAATCAGAGTACCCAGGTTAAGAAAGTTGTATTGTTAATTACTTAATTCAGTTTAATGCTTAAATGCCCTTGTCCTAATTAGACACAAAAGCAGAATCTAGTTATGCCTTTTCAAATATATGTAAGTACTCTTTAAAAAAAAAAAATCTTTCACACACAGAGAAATCATTGAGGAATGGAGTTGACTCACTCTTTCAAAGAACAAAAATGAGCTAATCAAGTTTTGTTCCATTTCAAATATACGTGTAACTACCAGTAAATTGTCCTAAGGCTTTACTGTCAGTAACAATAGTAGCTCAACATGCACTGCCGTGGAGTCAGATCCAACTCACAGTGACCCCTCCTTGGGTTTCCAAGGTAGAATCACTATGGAAGTAGATTGCCCAACCTTTCTTCTGAGGATTGGCTAGTGGGTTTGAACTGCCAGCCTTCTGATTAGCAGTCAAATGCCTTAGGCACTATGCTACCAGAGCTCCCAATAAGAATAGTAGCAGCTGGCATTTACTGAGTGCCTGCCACTAAGTCAGGCAGGTTCTTAGTTAATGCCACTAATCTTCACAACTATAGGCAGTAGTTGCTTTTTTTTTTTTTTTCTCTTACAGCTGAAGAAACAAGTCAAGCAAGGTTAAGTAATTTGCCTAAAGTCAAAGCTAATACACCAAGTAAAGATACCGTGTATAATTTTTTACAGCCTAAGAGCTTCCCCTCATTAGTGCAAACCTTTAAAAATTTCGCTTGAAGATAAACTATATGAAGGTCATTTCAGACAAAATTAACCAAAAATTAACAAACCCACTGCCATCGAGTCGATTCTGACTCATAGTGACCCTATAGGACAAAGTAGAACTACCCTATAAGGTTTCCAAGGCTGTAAATCTTTACAGAAGCAGACTGCCTCATCTTTCTTCCCAGGAGGGCTGGTGGGTTCAAACCGCCAGCATTTTGGTTAGCAGCTGAATGCTTACCCACTGCTCCATCAGAGCTCCTTACAGAATTAAGAAAGTGTTTCACTTAAATAACTAGACTACATTAAAGGTACTATTTTGGCATAATGCTGCCTTAAAAGAGACATTTTGGTTTAAAGATCCCTCATATGATGAAACACATGGGCTGCATCTCAGTTAAATTACACCAAACCCTTAACCTAAACTTATTTTGGGCCTCAATCTCAGAAATTAACATGGTATAAGAGTCACCAGCCACAAATATGATGAAATAACTGTGACAGGCACAAAACGTTCAGTATATAGGTATCCTTTCTCACATATCTTTACTCTCCCTCTTCAAACTCCATTGTCTGACATTGGAGACTAGCTAGATGCAGACAGATTTTCAGATGAATTGCTCATTGTGAAGAAGGCCTTTTTTTTTTTTTTTTTTCCTGTAAAATCTTTAATTCCTAGGTGGAAAATTCCATATTTTTCTTTTTTTAACCATTTGGCTTATTCTTGGCATTAAGCCATGGGTGGAGTATTTTGAATGAAAGAAAATATTACTGAGTTCCTTTCAATGAATGTACAGCATGAAGGAAGAGAGATAGCTTTCTTTAGAATGTGTTTCCAAAGATTGTCTTCCGTGCTGATTTGAGAATGTGTCATGAGATGACAAATGAGGATAAGTTCATAGTTTCTGAAACACAGAAAAGTACAAGGACATGAGAGAAGACAGTTCCAGCAACACCTAAGCCAAAAAGTGAGGCACAAACTTAGAGGAAACTTAAAGGCAGACAGAATATGAGGGACCTCCCTTTCTGTCTCACCTTGTGCACAAACTTAATAAAAGCTATGCTTCTTACTCTTAAAAAAAAAAAAAAAAAGGCACTAAGTCAGTTAGTCTGAGTAGACAGGACACATTCACAAGGGTGGGGTTGTCGATGCCACTGAGAGACTCTAGCAGTGTCTCTGTTCAGTGGGTGGAATCTTTTTTTTTTCTTCTTCTTCTTAAAAAAAACACCACCACAATGAAATCTCTCTGACTTTTCAAATATCACTTTTTAGCTTCCAAAACAGGAAGAGGTTGTTGTCAAGGAGCCAAAAACATCCTGGAAATGAATCCTTGGGGGGTCTGTATCAAGGAATATAACTTAACACATTGAATTAATTTTAAGAGACATAGTGGGGGAGAGGCAGTAGGGCGACTGGCAGGCCTTTGCTAAGCGACCACGCAGAGTACCTAGCTGCACAGTACCTACCCATGAGCCAGGGAGATGCCCCACATCAGAATCACCTGGAGGGGATTCTAAACTGTAAACTACTCTCCAACCTCCTTAAGTGGTTAAGTGTCATATCCCTCAGTCTGCTGGTGGTGGAAAACATTGCAGTTCCCTTGCCTGTATGCTTAGGCTGGGTGGTTAGAGGACAAGGTATATATTAAAGCAAAGATACAATCTCTGACTTCAGTGGTTTTGTGGTCTATAAATATGTGAGGCTAGACCAACTCACATGGACCCAGCTGAAATATGTAACACCATTGTAAAAACGGACCAGGTTTGACTTGGGAACCAGATATCAGCTGTGAAACTCATCAGTTTAACAAAGGAAGGGGCTAGAAGTGTCGCCTGCCAGCTGAGGGCTTCATCAGTTTGCAGCACTGTAGGATATCCTTTGCTGTGGACTGACTCAACTTCCTCTTGTGTGATGCATTCCAAGTTAGGCGGTCTCTGGGGCTTGGAGGTGATCAGAGCTAACTGTCACTTACATGTTTTGTTTTCTGTTTCCTCAAAACAAAAATACAGAAGCCTACTTACTTAAGTTATTGCACATCTAGGGTCTATAATTGTCCATTTATTCAGCATGAATTACTGAGCTCCAGGCACAGATTAGGCTCTGAGGATATGGTGGGAGCAGTGCTGACATGATCCCTGCCCTGATTTACAATGCATGAGGTGGACAGTAATCACAAAAAAGTACCATGGAGGAAGGGTACAGAAAGCTACTAGGGCCTATCATTGTGTGTTCTGTTGTTGTACATTTTAAATTCCAATAATACTGGAATTGACTTGTGATGTTAACAGCATTGTGACAGGCACAAAGTGTTGTCACACTTTATACAGGTGTCCCTTCTTAGATATCTGTACCCTCCCTCTCCAAACTCCACTGTCCAATGTTGGAGACCAGCTAGATTCAGATAACCTTTCAGATGAATCCCCTCACTGTCTGAACTCCCATCGCTCACTATCTGAAATCAGGATACATGGATTTGATAACATGATATCCCTCCACATCCAGACTTACTTCCTGAACTCCCTAGAGTTGAGTGCAGTAACCAAATTTATTTGGATCAGAAGGGATGGGTAAAGTGGTGGGTGAATGGCAAGTAAAGGGCTGTGTTATGTCATGGGTAGGAACGTGGAGGCCTAGGGTTCTATGACTCAGTAATGACTGACACTGAATGAGGGATTATAGGTATGTGTGCAGCAATATAAAATGGAAATCATTAATGAAATACAGCTCAAATGCAGGACTTTGGTAGTGTGTTGAGTATAGCCCGTTTCTCATACTCTGTAAGATAGGCTGAACCTTAACCTGTCCGACTTTTCCAGCAAAGATTAACTTTGTAGAACTTTGTCCTTTCAAAGAGATCGTTTTGGGGGCTAGCAAAAAAGATTCCACACTTTCTGATCTTTTCTGTGGGTAGGCATCTCTGGATGACCCAAACATCCCATTAAGTCTTTCCTCTTTCCTGGCAGTTGTCCTTTGACCCTGAAGTATGTTGTGTTGTTCCTGCCCAGACTCCACAGACACCAGGAACAAGATTCAGTTCTGCCTGGTGGCTGCAAACCCACCAACCACTACCTCCTTCCTAGACTGGGTCTTTGGTGTTTGCATTCTATCTATCCTATTGGAGAGTCAAAGTGGCCTTACTTGTAGAGATAATAGCTCCAATCTAGTTGTATCTGAATCACCAGGCCTGAGTCCAATGGGGCATATGTGTCACTACAGTGTAAAAGGGAGTGGGAGGTGTGCTCCTCTTTCTACAGTGGTAGCCATTGTAGTGGACATCTGGGGCTCTTGCTGCCCCACATTCATCTATTTCTCTCCTGGTAACCACACCTCCATGCACTCCCCCTATCCCCCCCCCACACACACACACCCTTTTGTCCCAGCTCTAGAAGTAGAATCTGATTGGTTTAAGCAGATCAGCATATTTCATTCCCTGGCCACAGTGATTGGATTAGGAATGGTCCAATAAGAGAGAAAATTCCAGATTTTCTCACCAGAACTTCTCCTTCCTTAGACATTATAGTGCGAGACATGAAATCTGGAGCTGCTGCATGAGGTAGCAATTTTGCTTCCTTGAGGGGAGAGTCTAGAGCCATGTGTGCATAGGAAGTAGCATCAAGTGAAGTTAAGAATGA